AAATATTTCGAATTTAAAATAGGAATTTTGATTGGGTGTGGGTGTGGGTGGTGGTGTAGGTGGGGGTGGGGGTGGGAGTGGGTATGGAGTTTTCTTTTATGACATTCACACACCCACACTCACACCCTAAAATGCAACATTTTTGGGTGTTCTAACGCGTTCTGATAGAGAAACGTGTTTCGACGCTGCTTATTGTTAAATGTATGTAGACGCGTTTGAGGACGTTCAAAATTTGTTGAACTTCAAAAACTTCGGCTCTATATCATGGTATCGATCCATTTTTGTCACTACATGATTTTTTCACTTCAGTCTGACATATTATTAAGTTATTGAATAGAGGGTGTGGGTGTGGGTGGTGTGGATGTGGGTGTGGGTGTGGGTGTGCGTGTGGGTGGTGTGAGTGTGAGTGTGGGTGTGGGTGTGGGTGTGGGTGTGGGTGTGGGTGTGGGTGTGGGTGTTGGGTGGGGTGGGTGTGCGTGTGGGGATGCGTGTGGGTGTGATTGTGGATGCAGATGTGGGTGTGGGTGTTGAAGAGAAGATCCACACCCTCACCCACACTCACACACCCACACCCACACCCACACCCACACCCACACCCACACCCCACACCCACACCCACACCACACCCACACCCACACCCTAGTTACAGGCAATATTTTCATATACAATTTAATGAACATTAACACGCCATCATCAGTTCAATTATTCTTCTCATTCTAACATTACGATATCTCATAATTACAATTACGTCTGATTGTATGAAACCGTCTCGACAAGTATCACTATATCTACTAGCCTATTTCATCTCAGTTCTACTATCCTTGCTGGTATTCACCATATATGTTCTATCTTGAGCACTCTACGGAAAAGAATTTAAGCAATCAATGATGTTTCTACGATAGTATCGTCATAAATGATCTTCTTCTTAAGACCTTCCTTATTCCTAAAACTATCTCATACTTAAATAAAAGAATATAGCACAATTATTTCTCTATATGTAATAACGTACACTTGATGATTTCTGAATGCGTATTTCACTATTGCTTTTTCTCATTAAAAAATTTTAAGCTCGTGCTAGATATTAAATCATTTCAAAATAGCATGGGTGTAGGACGTGGATGTGAGTGTCGATAGACATGCAACCTCTCTTCAAGCTCATCTACCCACACTGACCCATACCCACCCCACACCACCGCACCTACGCTCACACCCACCCAAATCATTTCAATAGGTCATGTGTCAAGAGAGAGAATGATTGTTGTTGACATCAATAACTACGTACAGAAACTATCTTGACAAATGATTTGAAGAGCAGGTGTCTTAGCAAATAGTGATATGATTTCTTTAGGAAAGGGGAGATAATATACATTTCTTCGTTCCTCAGATAATAAGCACCATTCAAGCAATAGAGAAGAATGGAAATATAAGGATGGGTGTGAGGGTGTGGGTGTGGGTGTGGCTCTTCACTCTACCCACACCCACACCCTATCTCTTGACACCCTCGCCTACATCTCACCACCTCCAAACCCACACTCTATCTCTCCACACCCTCGCCTACGTCTCACCACATTCAAACCCACACCCACCCACACATCCCACACCCACACCCCACACCCCACACCCTCACACACCCCACGCCCTCACCCACCCGCACACCACACTCACCCCACACTCTCACACACCCTCACCCTCACACCCTCACTCTCACACCACAGCATCACACCCTCATCCTCACCCACACACCCACGCCGTCACCCTCACACACACCCTCACCCTCACACCCACACCCTCACCCTCACACCCACACCCTCACACCCACACCCTCACACACTCCACATCATCATCCACCCACACACCACACCCACCCCACACCCTCACCCTCACCCTCACACCCTCACTCTCACCCACACCCCACACTCTCACACCACACCCTCACCCACCCACACTCATTATCAGAGATTTAGTCTTATGTAACTTCCACGACAATATAATAAAAAAATAAAATATCTAATGAGAAACTTTCATCGGTGTCCTGGCAAAAAATACTGGTGGCCTAGCAGTGCCAGGCCAGGCCAGGCCTTGGATACGCCACTACTGGCTATGAGTGTGGGCCAGAGTGGTTACGAATTTCACTCATACCATCATCGGCACGCTCACTCCCAAAACTAAACAAGCATTTCGCATGAAAACTTCTGATAGGTCAATACGTCAAGGGAACATTACGAGAAGGTCTACTAGCCTTATAGTTTATACGTAAAGTGGAATCTGTGGCATGTGACTTTTCACCAATGACATACATATAAATGCATGTCAATTTTTTCCACATCGTCTTTCTTTCTCTTGGCGAAATATACACTGTTTACTTTCAGACAATCATTGTCCAAGTCAAAAGCAATTTCGTACATGTTTTATCGCTTCTTTGAATTCACATCTGTAAATAGCAGACGGTAAAACAAATGTAACAAAGATGAGAGTTGATGGTATATACGATACAAAATAACCGATAAGAAATAACCATGGATCACGAGTCGATTTCATACAACCAGGTACGAATGAAATTATTAGACGTGGGAGGCTGAGAAGAACAAGAATAAGAGGACTAATAAGTAAATATTTATGCCGTTCAAATTGTTCACGTAAATGGTATTTGTAGGTTAGATTTATGCGAACAGTAGAACGAATCTGAGCTGTTCCAATAATAATAAATATTGCAGAAATAATATTAATTGAGAAAGGAGTAATAAAATGTATAATATTCATGATAGAATCATAATACTGTAGAGTTGAAGAGTAACGAACTAGACACCATGTACGCTGTTCTTCTTCATCAAAGTCAATATAACGACGAATTGGGTCGTGTATAGTCGTAAAAATGATAAAGAGAAAAATTATCAGAAACACCCATCGAACACTTCGTTTACTTTTTTCTGAATTGAAACTGATACCTTTCCAAACGCTAAATAATCGTTCGACGGCTACAGCTGCATTCAACCAATCTCCAGTGTTAAGAGAAATACGAAGCAATGTGTCCATAGATATACAATTAAATAGTAAAAAGGTCGTTGTACGTACAACAAGCATTTGAGATACAAGAAGAATCCAAAATTTCACGAGAAGAAAAATCATCGTAGCAAATGAACAAATTGATGACGCAAATAAATAATATCCACAACCTGTTTCTCTACAACGTTTTCTACGAAATGTAGCGATAGAAAAAAAACTGTTTATGAAACCAATAACTACCATTACGGTTGTTATAGCAATACTCGCTTTAACGGCAGTGGGTTGGGATGTAAGAGGCACATTCGGATGAATCTGATAAGCTATAATAGCGTCAAGCGGAAGTCCAAAACCCTTTGTACTTAGTTGACAACGCTTTCCATAATAACATTCATTACAAACACATAAAAGTGGTGTTTGACATGTTTCAGAGTTCTGAAAACATCGACCTTTGTTTGTACAATAATTCGTATCAGAACAAGAATAGGTAATACTACGATCAAAATTAAAACAATTTGCAAATCGATCTTGATTACACAAACACATCAACGATTCATCGTAGAAACAAACAAGATCAGAATTTTTTCGGCAAAGGGTGTGATAATATTTAACATAATGTAGACGACGAAATTGTAGAATAGTCGCATCAAGTATTTCTTCAATAGGTAAACATCGATAAGAAGCTGTTAGTTGAACTGCAATGTGTAATGAAGCAGTAAAGGTTTCTTGTACAATAGCCAAATAAAATTTTTCATCGAATTCTGTCAAAAGTATATGAAACGGATCTGAAAAATGAAAAGTAACTGTTTCGAGATTGAATGGAACTTTTTTATAGATTGACAATTGTGTCGGATTTGAATCATTGTAAACAGTTATAAAATGACCAAGTAGAGCTTGTGGAATAGAAACATCCACTGCAAATGAAATATCAATCTTTGTTTGAATATTTTCACATCTCACACCTGAAAAACCATCTTCACAAAGACATACAAAACGTTCTTGTGATATACGTTCATCTGAAAAAATACATGTGCCACGATGATGACAATTTGAAGGTGGACATGAAGAACGCGTTAACAAACATCTCGGACCAAACTTATGTGGAGGACATACACAAATAGACCGATTATTAATTATACCAACACACCGAGAATCAAATGAACATTGACATACATATGGAATGTCACACAAAACACCATACCACTTCGAATCACAACGACAGAAGAAATCTTCACTGTTGATATAACGTTGACATAAACCATGTAGACATTTTAATGGACAATTTTTTGCAATTGTATGCGTTTCATCTGCAGGAATGACTAATTGTTTCACTAGGCGATAAACAGGTAAAACAGGAAATTTGATTGGAAAAAGCCAAGTAGCGCGATGGGCAAAACTTGATTTTTCAAAAGCTTGAATCCGTACAAAATATTTTCGTAAAAAATCTTTTGGTCGAATATTGTAAAGAAGTACAACATTGAATTTATTTTTACAATCACGAAATGGAATATAATGTACTTGTTCATAAGAATGAATTTGTTGATTATAATCGATTAGAGTAAGTACTAAAACAATCATTGTTCGATATTCAGATGCTTTCATTTGTAACGTCACACTAACACGTTGACTTTGAAACTCACATCGATCGCCATAGTAGCTAGGTGGACAAAGACATATTTGTCCTACATGTTTATACCTTATGGCAATACCTCGATTACAGTACCATGCTCGATAAAAATTGCTGCTGCTGATATTTTGCCGACGATCGTTGTCAACATTTATTTTGGAAACCATTTCGGTTTTTTGCATTGCTTTTGATAATTGTGGAACTGTCGAAGGGTAAGTAATTGCGTTTTTTAACGAAAAATAGATGTTTCGTGATTTATTTGCATCGGTTAATTTGCAAAGAAAATTATGACTCGTCGTTCTATCTCCATTGGATAGATCATTACATGGCTCTGGAAAATAATCTTCATCGTCATTTTGGCAAAACTGTTCGTCGTCTCCAAATTCACAATCTTCTTCACCATCACATAGAGAGTCCACAGAAACACAAGGATGTAGTCCAGTCTCATTCCAACACTTGTATCGAGTGTCAGGAAAACTTTCGGCACCATCAATCCTACACATATGGCGTTCATCTGATGCTCCAAGACAATGAGTTATATTATCATTAGCTAAAGTAAGAGGTAAACAGGTGATATTTTTGCTAATCGGTTCGACGCATGGCAGATGTAATGGAGGACAAGCGGTCCATTCACAATGGGCTTCGTCTAAACCATTGGGACAGTTCAAATAAATATTACAACGAGTGTATTGATTGTCACAAGGCCATAGATCGCAGTTTGTTTCATCTGTTTCAATAACGGTATCATCCGTATTAATTGTAAATTCTGTGAACCCATCGCATAAAATTTGAAATGGTATATAACTTCTGGAGTTTTTGCGAACATTAGTACCTGCTATTTCATCTTCTCCTCCCATACAATCATCGTGAAGGTCACGAATGCAAAAAGGAGAAATACATTTGTCACTTTCAGATGTACAATGAAAACGGTATGTATCATTCATTGAACAAGGTTCTTCTTCATCGTCAGGATCCAGACAATCGTGCACGCTATCTACCAGTCGATGTTTCGAAAAACAAGTTAGAGTATATTCGCAGTAGAACAAATTTGGATTAAGACAAAGATCAGGCCTCTTGACTACATCGATCGGAGGACATTGATGAAATAAATTTGTCATAAATGTAATAAAATTGCTATATGATACATAATTCATGTGGGGCGCATTTAGTAGGAACGCAGAAACACATATTGAATCGCTACTTGAATTTTGTGCTAAAGTTAGCTTTGGACAAAATTGTCTATTATAGCATATGTATTTCGGTTTTCGTATACCGCCAGTATATTCTGGTCGTTCGTTTGTATATATTAATACTACATGACCGTGTATGACTGGATGCGCAGGAAATTGAAATAGAGGTGGACAATTTTGCTCTATGAGTGTATCACACTTAGGTGTAAATGGTTGACCACAAATCGTTTCACAGCGTACAGTATCGAAAAGAGAATAGATACGATTGTATATTCTCATAGCACAAATCATTGTCGACCAACATAACTTCGATAATTCTGGTGTTTCCTCATGAGCAAGAAGAGCTCTTGACAACAGTATATCACGAGCATTCATACATATATGAGCATGGACAAAATCCGTTGGAATTTGTGTAAATACACACTCGCCATCTCCGCATGCCACCATATTAAGATAAGGTCGACATGTACGCTCTTCGCACCGAAAAGCAGGATCTTGATAGCAGGTGTCAAAGCGCTGTCCTCCATATATTTCGTCAGAACCATCAAGACAGTCGAAATCCAAGCTATCTTCCCACAAAAAGTCTTCAGGTATACAAAGTCCATTTCGACATCGAAATTCATTTGGACCACATTCATTCAATTCCATTACTTCAAAGCAGCCCTTTTCATCAATACCGTTATTGAAACAATCATTTTTTCCATCACATACTTCACGCCAATCGAGACACGAAACGTTACCAGGTCCTCTATCACATTTCAAAAATCGATAGCATGTTCCTCCTTTTGTAACATTTAGAATATCATTCAATTTTCCTTCTTTCATTCGAAATGTTTCTCGAACAATATCGGCAAAATCATTGGGCGAGTCAAACGTATATTGACAAGTAGATCCAAACCATAATCCTGAACAGTTATAAAACAAATCTGACGCTGTTGCTGCTGTCGGTTGATTAGTATAGAGTTGATAACGTTCAAGCAGATCAATAGGAGCAGACCATGAATAGAGCTGTTCGATGGTTACTTTTTGACGTTTTAATTCTTCAAATGTAATCGAGTCAGTTTTATTAATAATGCTATCATTGGGATGACTAACTGGTCGATAACAGTAAGGAATAATTTCATGAGAGAACGGTTGTTGTTCTCGTTTCGATTTCAGAGGCACATAATAATATAAACAATCATATTGTAATTCATCTTCACTTACTCGATCCGTGTAATATAGATTAAATGATAATAATTCTGTTAAAGGCATTATAAAACTAACAATGAAGTGTAGAAAAAGACCGTGTAAGATCTTCATTTTAGTTTATGGCATCATATTAAACTTTTAGCTCACTGGCAAAGAGTATTTCAAAATGAATTCTTTCTACTTGACAGTCACTAACAATCTCGCTAACAATATGATATTTATCAATAGTTTACTAAATTGTCGTGAACCATCTGTCTTCATTTGAATGTAACAATAAAAGAAAGGCAAATAGAAATTTATTTTTTCTTTATTAAAAGAATTATCGTGTTTGTCATGTCGATAAATAATGATACATATTTTTAAAAAAATATTGCTTATATAAAAACCATGTTCAAAGTGAACGTGAGTGTAAACTTCGTAATTAGTCTTTAACTGCATCAGCATGCACCATGCCACATTTTTAGACTTTTGCCTGTATTTCCACCAAGTTCGAAAAGTTCACAAATTTTTGAAGTTTATTATACAACGTCTTTGGTGCACATAGAAGTACGAAAGTAACGACCTCATCAACTGTGTTTAGTCGTCTTGATGTTCGAAGATCGATTCCATTCGACTCATCTGGAATATTTTCTATTTATAACAACTAAAGTATTAGACCAATCATTCGATATGAATGCTGTAACTCGTTATGGAGTGTGATAAATAATCGTATCTTCAGGAAATTCCTTTTAATATATAGTTCCAGCTTTTCTCCAGATAAAAATTGTCTTGTAAACCTAAATAGTAGAAAAACCAATTGAGTCGGCGTGGGTATCGATGGTACGATCCCTTCTTCATTCATATCCTCATTCTCATTCATACCTTTCTTTAAAATTTACCGCCATGATGACATTATATATATGTCATCATTTCGTCACTTTATTGGATTACGATCATTATCATTATCGAATATTTCTTCGCCTCCGACATTAATCAAAATTATTGAAGAATTACCACATTTATTGAATCTCACTCATTTAACTATCAATTGCTATTATGTGCGAAAATAGGGTGGGTGGGTATGGGTGTGGGGTGTGGGTGTGGGTGGGAGTGGGTGGGTGTGGGTGTGGGTGTGGGTGGGAGTGGGTGGGTGTGGGTGGGTGTTGGTGGGTGTGGGTGTGGGTGTGAGTGGGTGGGTGTGGGTGGG